AAGTATAAGAAGAAGAGAAAAGAAAGAACAAACCAGGTTGGCTATGTACATTTATTTTACCAACGCTTCTTGGTGCATTGGAAAAGAGATTAAGTTTTGTAAATCTTTTGAATTTGTAGATAGTTCAGTGGTGGTACTAATTAGTATTAGCTAAGTGTCGTCATTTTTACAGTTGTTTGTTATACCGGTTGTGTATTAAACTGCATAAAATTAGTAGTTCTTCAACCTTCAGCTGTCTGAAGATGGAGATTGATAGGCCACCTGATAAGATGATCCAAATTACTTTAGTTGGTCATTGGATGTTGCCAGCGGCGTTAAGGCTTTGCTTTCTGGCAATGTGTTTCATGTTCAACTGCATTTTTCTTCTATTCTGGTTGACTTGTACTGAAGGATTCTCTACAAACTTGCAGAATGGTGCATTAAGAGTCGTGGGAGCTCATAGATGGGGCAGGGATAATTCTTCAGAAAGACATCCTAATGAGGAAGTTGGCAGCCACGACATCAACCTAAAAACTTCAAAGAGTGTGCATATATGTACTACACCACCAGCTCATAATTACAATCAATTGATAGTCAGTACAGTAGCGAAAGCAGTTTTTGAACAGCAACAGGCTGAGAATCCTATTAATGCTGTTGGTGCTGGTACTTTTTTGACATACAACAAAGATGTTCTGCATTCTGATTTCTTGGTAATTTGCTGTATGCTAAAGTGCCTTATCGTTTGAGTGTCAATGTACTAAATTTGTTTTAATAATCTCATCTTTTGTGCAGCTGACTAATTCAGGGTCTGCTGTTGAAGGTGGGGAATGAAAGACCTTTAAAGTGGTTTTCTATTTGAAATTTGAATGCCGCTCTAATAAGTTACATGCTATAGTGCAGGATTAGAGGAAAACTGTGGATATTTCATTGGAGGGACTTCTTTCTTAAGCATTCCCCAGGACTTTATTTGCCCTTTGACAGAGATGTTATTTGACGAACCTGTAACCCTAGAGACTGGACAAACGTTTGAGAGGTCAGCCATTATAGATTGGTTTGGAAAAGGCAATACATCTTGTCCAGTAACTGGGAAAATATTGGAATATCGAGCTGTACCTCTGACAAACTTCATTTTAAAGCGTGTTATTGTTAATTGGAAGAAAGAGCATAGCAGGAATCTCCTAGATTTGGCCTCTCAAATAGGTGAAAGTGTGGAGTCAAAAGATGAAATTGCCGTATTCATACTGGAGCAGCTTGTTGCTGCTTCCAGCCAAGAGGACGGAATAAGAAGTACAAAACAACTTATATCTCTTGGAGGCTTGCAGTTCCTCATCCGAAGGTTTCAGTGTGGTGACCTCGAGGAGAGGACACGTGTCTCAGCATTGCTGTTAATTTGCATTCTAGCAGACCCTGATTACAGAAATCATGTAGCTAGAAACATTGACAAATTATCTTTGCTTGAGCTACTTCACTCCAGACAGCTGAAGTCAAAAAGAAATGCCGTATCATTGCTAACTCAATTAATTTGCCTGAACAGGTATGTGATAGATGAAGAAGTCTTGACATTTTGTGTGATTTTGGTAAATCTGGTCCACAAGGTAAAATTATGGCATAAATAACTCCAGTTGAGATAGGATAGAATTTTGGGGTAATACATAATCAGTCAAGAAGGAATTCCACTTAGAAATAAAACACAATGCTTTAACAAGTTATATGCAATTGTTGCTAAAATAGGTCGTATATATGGATACAAAACTGCTGTTCTTTACATTCCAACAACCAAGAGTGTCTGTCTGTTGTTCCTGTTTGTGCATCTCCTTGGATACTTATACATTGTTTACTGGTTATTCTAAGTAACAAGGCACATCAGAAATGGTTATACTGAACATAAAGCCTGAATTTTCCAAGGACTTAGAGCACTTGAAAATTTTTCAGAGATGGTAAACCATTCAGTTGATTTGACCGGAAAGATACAACTTGGCATTAAATTTTCTCAACTCCAGCAGATGAAACTTGTGGTTTTTCTTTTTGAATTTTTGTTTGTATAATTTAGGAACCACTGTGGAGACATGCATTTAAAAGTTTCCATAACAGTAGGTTAACCAAAGACAAGGATAAACTATACACAACGTCATTTCCGTTCCAAGATTAAAAATGATAGGAACAAAGTATACCAACTCTTTCAATTCATCTTTTGTCCATGCAGTACAGGCACAAAAGGGGACTGTTATAAACAACTTTCTTTTTTTTTCCCAGCAAGGACATAATCGTATGTGTTTTACAGGGCAAGGGAGGTATGCTTTAGTTTCTTAGCTTGTTGATATCATAATTTTGTATGTTTCATTCGCTCTGTAATGGTTGAAAAGATCAGGTCCCCTGGGGCGTTGGCTTGATGCTTGGCTATGATCTAAATGTTTTTTCTGGAACTTGAATTTAATGTTAAGATTTGCTCAATATATGCTTAACTTCACAATGAGGCTGGCTCCAACTAATGTGGGTAAATAATCACATCACTCATGTCAGTGTCTTCTCATTCCAGGGTTTACAATGCATGCTGAAATGATTCCTCCTTTGTTTGGTCTCATTCTTGTACATGAAACTTTCCTTTCTCAATTCATCAATCATGAATATTTGAAGTTGATATGTCAAAATGGAAAGAGAACCGAAAATTATATTTAGATGATTATCTTTTTCAGATGCCCTAGATCTCTGCACAAGAAACTGGCAAGGCAAAGTTTAACAAAATTCTTGTTCAAGTCAAAATTATTGCCACATGAACTTATTTGCTGTTTTTGTTGCAGCACTCCATGATGTTTTTAATGATTATTTTTGAACAATAAAATTTCAGGAGGAAAGATGCAAAGTGTTTCTTAGAGGGCTTACAGAAGGAAGAGACAAAGGACGCTTTGCATGTTTTGCTAGTGTATCTCCAAAGTTGTCTATTTGAAGAAAGACCTCTTGTTGCAGTGCTGCTCTTACACTTGGATCTTATGGTAAGTCCGTGTAATAAATTTGCGTCAGGAGGTTCTATCAGATCCAATTTCTCATTGTACATTGAACATGCAGTTATTAAAGCATTTAATGATCTATGAAGTAAAGTATCACAGCTACATTTTCCTGAATCTACAACTTTACTGCATGTGTTCAAGTGATATTCTATGAGTCATTACTAACATCTTTGGGAGTTAAAGTTCTGTTGATTAGATGGTAAATATAATACCAATATAATTCTGCACTTAGTCTGTGTAAGATCTAAAAGTCTGATAACTCATCCACCCGTGTAAGATCTAAAACAGTCTGATAACTCATCCACCCGCACAAAAGTTACGCTGTCAGATGATAGGAAATTGTAAGAACGAATGACTGAAATTAAATGGTAGTACTCAAAGTCTGCATTGATCAATACAAAAAATATATACCACTCTTGTCCTAAATTAGCTGCCAAAAGGGACTTTAAGATAGGATGAATAGAAAGGGCATCTTGTGATCTGCTTAGGCTCTTAAATAATTCTTTCTTCATGGATTTAGCAGACAACAGAAAACTCAATTAATTCAGTCATCTGAAACTAATTTGCTGTACATTGTGCTCAGGAGTCTAGACAAATATGCTACAAAAAGTCATGTATGCTTTACTAAGTGAGGAGGTTATTCAATAACTGGTATTTTTTGGTCAGAGGCTTAAAATCGTCAGTTTTAGTTCTCTAAATCAGGATGGAAATTTTCACGTGCACCCTGAATTGCATGAAAATTGTATGTATTGCTAAAAATAATAACGATTGAACATGGAAGTATAAGATGTCTTTTCTGCTTGTCTTTCTCTAGGATTACATTCGACCGTATATTTTATTTTGAAAGGAAATGAGTTTGTTGCATTCCCTTTAGCTATTTACCATGTACTTGCTGTATTAAGGAAAATATAAGCTTCAATGGTCTGCAGTTTTGGTCAACATTGAGGGACTTAATACAGTTATTAAGCTTTACTTACATTTTGATTTTCTAAAAGATTCATAGGTCGTAATTAATAATTGCACTTACATAGCTTCTTCACTGTATGGAACCCCATGGGATAGAAGACTCTTCTTATGTTTTATTGTAATTGTCTGAAGGCATAAACAAGTATTTGCAGTGCTTTTCAGTTGAAACTGAAGGTTCATATCTACCTGCAGGTAGAACCTCAAGAATATAGTGCATACAGAGAGGAGGCTGTGGATGCCATTACAGTGGCCCTTGAAAGCAGCTTGACTGATGAAAAGGTTCGAATGAAGTGTTGTAGAGCACTCCTTATCTTGGGAGGACACTTTTCGTTTGGTGGGAAGGTCATGACAGAGGATTGGATACTTAAGCAAGCTGGATTTCTCGATGGACCAGTGTATGATTCTCCTGACAATGAAAACAATATACTTGTTGATGAAAGTATTATGATGGTATGTTGGTCTATCGCTGTATATTTATCCCTTATTTTCTTCCTCTACCGTCTTATATCCTAACAGAAGCTTAGAAATAGCAAAGATAAGCTTCTTGTTTACATTGGTGTTCTGTCTATCCATTGAGTATAGTCTCTTTGGAGTGAAGTTTCCACATTTAAGCTTGCAACATGTGATAATACACTCGTTTGCTTATTTCTTTTTGGAGGTGCCTTAAAAAGTATAGAAATTTGGCATTTTTGGAACAAATTGCGGAGAACATCAAGTATCTCTTTATAATTAATCTGCTTAGTTTTGTGTCTTCTTGTATGATTTTTAAGTCAACCACAGTTTCAACAAATTTTACTTATTTCAAAGTGCTACACCTTTTTGATTGATTGGGATGATGATTTTGACCTTTGATACTTTCCTTCTCTTTATCATCCATCTTGATGTCTTGCCTCCTACTGCCATCACTGTTAAGCAGAATAGAATGAAGAATGGGGAAGTTGACCACTATTGTTTGCTAGAATAATTGTTAGCAAATTTCGTTGTATTGCAAAGTAACAATAACCCTCCTTGAAATTAAATCAGCAGATGGAGGATGCTGATGAAGAAAAATCCCGGGAGAAATGGTTGATGAATTTGTCAGCTTCACTTCTTGGAGATGGGCACAAATCCTTTTTGGCAGCTACAGCCAGGTGTTTAGTTTCTGAAAACTCTGATCTGGTGAGAGTGTGTCTGACCACAGTGGCATGGTTGAGCTCAGCTCTTGTTTCATTATCTGAAGCTGAGTTTCAGCTATCTGCCTTTTCTGCTCTCATCACTGGGCTTAAAGGTTGCCTCGAGAATGAGCTGGTTGAGCACAAGATTCTTGCTTCTATGTCTCTGCTTAATTTCAGCAAGTTTCCAGGTCAGTTTTCTTGTACAGAAAGTTCTTATCAGTAATATAGCTGCACAAAAATAGTTTTGAGAAAGATTTTTCTGTTTTGACTAATATAGCCTTGGATCCTTCATGGATTTATTGGATTTCTTTATATCTCTATATTAAAATCCAAAAAGTTGAATAAGGTACACGGAAGCTTGCTTGATACAGACGTGACACGTGAAGCACCTGTAACAAGTAACTTCCCTGATAGATTCACGAGTTTAGTTTTCTACAAGAGTGTTTTAAATACTTCTCCAAGTTACTTTCCTTTTTGTAGTAATCTTGATGACATTCATGGCAGAAAATGTTTGAGAGACAACACCTTCAATAGATAAGCCCTGCTTGCTTTTTACTATTACTTTTTTATTATTCTGATAATCTTTGCAATAAGCATTACTATTTAATCTCATTTCTTGGAGTTAGAACTTCTTGGATTTGATCTCTAGTTGAAAATCGCATGCTACAAGTACCAAGTATGCATGTATCTGAACTTCGTAATATCTCTTATTAATATGGTTCATGTTTTTGGGTTCCAGAATGCAGGCTTTTATTGATGACAATGGCTGAGGACATTGCTGCTTCTCTTCAAAGCCTCACAGAAGTAACATGGACAGCAAAAGAACTGTATTCTAAGATTTGCACCTACTGATTTAAAGAATTAGACTCACTGCAGGCAAGAACTACCGCTTAAGATGAGCTGTTCTGCTTTGTACAGTTAGAGAACATGTTGCAGATGAAACTTATTGCAGATGCATCTTTTGCATTGTTGTTTTGTTCAGTTAGGAAATGCAGCATGATGCGCTGTTTTAGACCTTTTAGAGAAGAATGCTATCCTTACTTCTCTTGTTTGTTTCTTTTGTCGAGTTGGGGGAGAAAAGGGTAGAGGACTAAAAATAAGATACAATCAGATCCATTCTCAGCTGCCCTTCGAGAAGTTCGGCAGGTGTCATTGAAGATTGTTTGGAGAAATTTGTGAATATGTAGTACATTTTCGGAGGCAATGAACTCTTACAGACAACTTTGAATGTGTATTATAGCCTGTACATGATGCAATTTGGTGTATCAGATTTTTGGGCACAATTTTCTTGCTTCTTTTCTTCCTAATGCCTTTGTGGTTTGACTGCATATATTTCTGTGAATTAGCTGTTGTCTAGGACTTGAAGATAAACTACTACGATTCAATTGTTTAGGGAATGGAAGCGGAAGAGCTAAAGATTAGATAACCTGATCAGAAAAATTTTTCTGCATTATACAGTAAGTCGTAGTCTTCCCATGTGTTAATTTGTAAACTCTCGGATAAAGAAAATGTATCAATGCCCAATTTGCCCATTCATTTTTTTGTTTCATGTGCTATGTGAGGTCCTTCTAGGCCTTCAAGACAAAAATCTTCAAATTTTTATTTCTTCTGTACATTGTTCTTTTGGGGATAAGAAAGGAAGTAATTGGACAATAGCCAATAAATTAAGAAAAATAAACCATCCTGTGCAGGCCATTGAAGAAATTTATACAAATCAGAGCCAAAAGAATAACTTTATACTTGCTTACCTGGATGGGGTCGATGGGCGATCAAGAAGGCTCATGGCTTAGGTAGGTGGCCTCCATTGCGCCTTGGAGGGGCGCCTGCCAACATCATAATTTGTTGCAGTGGGAGCCTGCGTTCGCGCGGTTCCTGCCCGATCCTCATGATACAAATCTTTATGAACAATTTATTTTCTGTTGAACAGTTTCTGAGAGTCTGAGATATATTTTTTGTTAAAAGGAAATTACCAGATAATTTATTGATCCTATGTCTCTTTAACTCAAGATGTCAAGCGTTTATACTCAGACATCAATCAGAAAACTCAGTCTAAATGCTAGGATAAATCCATAGAAGTTCAGTTTTGTCCGAGTTTGTGTAGGTAGACAACGATATTTCATGTTTTGAATTTTACGGCCTAAAATTTTTGAATACACCGATAACATATGCAATATCACCGTCGCACATTTAGTATATCACCACCGCCGTTAGATTCATGTTACATTTAGTATATATATCATCGTCATTAGATTCATAGCACATTTGCAAAAGTTGAATCTCATTTTCCTGTAACAAATGCATAAAGCTCAAGCTCTAAGTTTGAACTTGGCTCAAATATGTGGAGCTCAAATTAGCATATTTACTCGGTTACAAAATAAAACTTTACTTTTCAACCTATTTATTGTAGTCAAGCTTTGTTTGGATATGTTAACAGCTCTAGTTGTGATGCGTAGTAACACATTTTCATGCTTTAATTCTTAATTTGCTATACCAATTTAGACCATCAATTATGTCAGTAATTGAAAATTAGCCATTCCTTTGATTCCTATTCTGTACAGAACAATATATAGTCTTTGTAAAACGATACTTAAGTTATTGGATTTTTCCAGAGTGGTTAATTTTTTTTCCTTTCCATTTTATTTTTGGTGGAACAGTGTCTTTCATCTTTTTTCCCCCGAAAGATATTGAGATTTCATTAAAACAAGAGGCACCAGATAACTACAAAAACTCCCTCAAACTTAACTTGTTCTATGAAGGCAAACACCCTATTAATCAATGAAAGTTTCGAGAGACTCTTTTTCTTCTTGATTTTTCTTTAATTTGTTCATTTTAGTAGAAAATTTTGTTGTGGACCAAAGCTTAAGAAAAACTTGCCCTAAATCTCAAAGTACACATTGCTGAATTTGTTGCAATTTACATTTTCAAAATATCATTATAGCTCTTGATTTTGAGAACAAGGAAACAAGTCAAGAAGTATCTATTTAATTTGTAACAGTTTTGTTGAGATCAACTGTTTTTAGTAGTTTTCTTATTTTAGGAATTGGTATATTGATTACTATTTAATGCGTAGTTTAATTTATTTACTAAGGTGCGTTTGATAAAATTGAAATCTAAAATCTGAACTCTAATACTTGAAATCTAAATCAATTAATTTATTGAATTGTAATTACTAAAATTCTAACATTTGAGCACATTTTGTATTAAATGATAAATGAATAGTTTATCACTTAATTTTTGGAGTAAGTTTTACTTACATAGCTCAGATCCACTTAATTAATTAAGATTTGTTCTATTTTTATTATCAAATACGTCTAAACATGTTAAGATCTGAATTAATTAAGTTTAAATGATAATTAAGTTATCAAACAGAATCTGAGTCTAGCAGGCTACATATACAACACTTCTTGGAATATTTTTCTTAGAGTCTAATAGGGTCTTCGATTTTATATTATTTTAGATGTTTACATTATTACGAATTGTTTAATCTCTCCAAAGATAACTTTGGTTGATTGTTTCCTCTCAATTCTACGAACCTATTACAACACCAAAAATTTATTTCTACAATGTCCAGCAAATTCATCCAACTCAGCTAGCAATAATAATCAGGGCAACTACAAAAAGAACTTCTGGCGACAAAAAATAGAAATACCATATTTACTTATTAAAAAATGGCTACAAAACTAAAAAAGATTAAAAAAATCCACCATATCAAATTGCAATATTATTTATTTATTCATTTGTTTTTTTATTGCGGGTTGGAGTCTTTTTTTACTATAGGGGAAGATCTCGCAATTTGATAGGAAACACCATAAAACCGAATCCCAATAGGCAAAGACGACTGAGCTATAATCAACATGCTCGTTCCCAAGTTCCCACATCGAAGAAACAAATAGGCAAGGCGGCTCGAGTACTCCTATAAAATGTTGTGGTTTGACAACGTAAAACAACTTACCTGGACGAGGTCGATGGGCGATCAGGAAGGCTCATGGCTTAGGTTGGTGACCTCCATTGCACTTGGGAGGGGTGCCTGCCTATGGTCTCCCTAAGTGGGAGAGCCAACGTCATAATTTGTGCAGTGGGGGCCTGCGTTCGCGCGGCCCTGCCTGCATCTCTAGTTGTTAAATCTTATCTGGTTTTGGTCTTATTCCTCTTTGGTTCCACAGCAATGAAAGTCTGAAACTTTTGTTTTTGTTGTAGAGAAGGTATGCTATAGTCTCAAGTTGTTTGATATAAATTGTTCCTTGGAATCACCAAAAGATGCTTCTTGAATTCTCTATGTTTGCTTGCTTAGTTTCAGCCAGATTTCTTGCAGATAAATTGGTCAAAAAACTTGTGTGAACAGAGCACAAGTTGCAAAGCAAGTTGTAGAGCACAATTGGGGATCTGAGGTCGGATCGCTCAAAATACCTCTCGGATCTCATTTTTCTTCATTTTTATCTTCACTACACATTAGGATCCGAGGCTTGTAACATGGGGATCCGAGCTCGGATCCTCCCTCGGATGTAGCCTTCTGATTACAAAAGTTTATCCGAGGTCGGGTTTAGTACAGATCTGAACTCGGATTTACTTACTCTATTTTTTATCCACCTTTAACTGATATTTTCTTGATGATAGAGGCTGAACTAACTCTTGTGTAAAACATGAAAGTTGTAACTCTTTGAGTTAACTTTCCAATGCGTCAAAAATCATCCCATTTAGAGCTCTGTGGACAGAGAAATGACCAAATTACCCTAGATCGTCAGAACTCTATTTTGAGCTTTCGACAATAAAAATGTACTTCTGTATTTCAACATTTTGACAAGGAAACCGACTGAACGGGACTTCGATGTCTTCATACCAAATGTAAATCTGTCTCTTAGCTTCAAGATGGCTTAAGAATCACCTCCATCTAATATTTGTAACTCAAGATATAACCGAAATACTATAAGGTGTCAAAGCTATGAAACTTGATTCCTTAGAACTTGATTGCATTTCATCTTTTACACTTCATATTCTCTTTTTATCACTTCAAATAATCATCAATCATCCAAGTATTTTCTCAACTCACTCCATTTGATGATTGAATCATTAAACCTATAAAAACATAAAATTTTCACCATTAAAATCCATAGAAATACATTTTCTATCACTTAAACCACAAAATACATATTTCCACTAGAATCCTAACTAATTAACTATAAAAGTTGTTAAAGCACACCAAATAAATAATAAAACACGCTTAAAACACTCAAAATATGCACTTATCAGTGTTATTTTATTTGTCTAAGCATTTATTTCTTGACCAACGCATTCACTAAATTCGTTTCTTAAACAACTCATTTGCTAACTATGGTTTTTCAAAACCTCACTATCTGAGAGCGTCTTTCAAAATCTACTAATATTTGGAAATTACCTCGCAGATTAGTGGCTCCAACCGTTTTCGGATATCCGTTTCGAAGCTTTGTACGTGCACAAGCAAGTTTTATACACGCTCATTGCAATTAGGGCACTACATACACAAGCAATTATATACAAACACTTACAGAATCGGTGTACATACTGAAACACCAAAATGATAAGTCATTGGTTTAGCCTTCATTCGGTTATTTGTGGTTAGTTGTTGTAATGTTGTATGGTTATAGTTGAATAAGGAAAGATCAACCATCCTCTGCAGCCACATAATTAGTTAATATCATGTTTTAAGTTTCTAGTATATTCGATAACTAAAAAAAAAAAAGGCTAAAATTTCACTTATACAGGATTCTAACATTTTTCTATTATACCTCCTATTGGGATTCTACATTCTATTCTGAACGTATAACAAACGGACAGAATATTTAGGGGATTCCAATTTCCAACGGGCATTGACTAATGACTGGTTATTACTTGCTCGCCTCTTTTGTCCCACATCGAAAGCATCAGAGAAAAATGCCACCAGAATTTGTATAAATACTCAACTTCATGAACTTGAAACATACTTACCTGGACGGGGTCGATGGGCGATCAAGAAGGCTCATGGCTTAGGTTGGTGACCTCCATTGCACTTGGGAGGGGTGCCTGCCTATGGTCTCCCAAGTGGGAGAGCCAACGTCATAATTTGTGGCAGTGGGGGCCTGCGTTCGCGCGGCCTCTGCCATCTCTAGTTGTTAAATCTTCTCTGGGTTTTGGTCTTATTCTTTGGTTCCACAGCCATGAATTATTCCTCTTTGGTTCCACAGCCATGAAAGCCCGAAACCATTGTTTTTGTTGTAGAATGCCATGAAAGACCGTATGTCTGCAAAAAGGTATGATATTGATGGTCAAGTTGGAAGTCATATTCACTTGCATCACAGTAATGTACAGCTGAAGATGGGAAAAAAAAAAGAAAGAGGAAAATAGATTTCTTTATTATCGTGAAATAGGAAATTTGGCAACAAAATGATGGAAAATAATAACTAGGAAATAGTATTAAGAGGACAGGTACCTAATTCGATTTGGGACATAGAAACTAGTGTATATATATTATGTTTTAATGGTTAGGACAGATAAACTAGAGGTCCTGGATTTAAATTTCTATATTCCTGTCCTCGTTTCTTAAATCTCTTCTCAAAAGTTTAAAAAAAAAAAGATTATATGACCTGATTTTAGGCAAAAATTTTAACTACTATAAGAACTGAGGCAATTTGGAAAAATTTCTAAAATTATGATGATTTTTAAAAAAATTCTACAAATGAAACATTTTTTGTATAAAATTGTCCAGGGATCTTCGCATTCAGCAAATGCGAGCTCAAGGAACTCGCATTTGCTGAATGCGAGGTCTCCTGAATTTTCCTAGCATCCAAATCAAAAAAAAAAAAAGAAAAAGAAAAACAGACCTCGCATTTGTTAATTGCGAGGTATATCAAATGCGAGGTCATATACCTCGCAATTAACAAATGCGAGGTCCACGCCCAGGTAACTCAGCTCGCACTTAGCGAGCATTGTGACGAAAGAAGCCCTGGTCCAGTGAGCGTGAGCAAGCTGCAATTTTACATAAAAAGACTGCTCAAACAATTGACATAAGTTAGAAGCCGTGTATGTTTCATCATGCGAGTGATGAAATTGGAGCCAAAATTCACTATTTACCATCTTCAAATTATTTTCAAGAACATGAATCTAGATTTTGCCATGATTTTTCTTTTTGCTCAGTTCCAATGCAAGCCTTCTCTTGCTTTATGATTTCACTGCAAATTATAAAGTGATTTACAATTTGCAATGAAAATCTCTACAAATTTTACTACTTAAGGCTGTAAATTCATCAAACCTCAAATTTTTGTTTTTGCATTGACATTTATCATAGAGAAATAAATTCTTTTTTATTTTAAAACTCACACGAGTTAGAGTTAGAAGTTAACAAATGTGACGTCTCAACACAAAATTTTATGTACTAGTAATTCTTTGTATATAAATAAAAAAAGTTATATTTCTTATAGATTAAAAGATTTGATAATTATTTGTTGGAACACCTAATTTTATTATTAAATAATTTTATAAAGAAATAATATACATGTATATAGTTCTTTATACGGTTGGAAACAAGCTTTGGCTTTGTATTCAAATTGAGGTCCTCACATTTGCGAAATGATTATTTATCAAATGATTATTATGTGATTATTTATCTTATAGATTAAAAGATATACTTTCCTATAAATATAAAAATTATAATCACATAATAATCATTTTCAAATTAAATGAGAAAAAATTCCCAAACATATATTTATCTCACTAGGATACTTGAAAAACATTTTATTTCTTTATTGTAATTTATTATGATTAAATATATATATAAATTTTTTTGAAAAAATTTTGATAGAGTCTCCCCTTAAAAATGGACTAAACTCCCTGTCAGCAAACCCAAAATAGACAACATTTAATCCAAGCAATATTTCCAACAACTTGTCAGCCAATAATCACAAACCACTGCAAAAGCACAAGTCTTTAGTAAATTAAAAAACAGAAAAAGTAAAATCAAGTTAAACATCCAACATTCCACAGATTAAGAACAAAATGGAAGCAAATCCATGCACAAAATATAGTGATCCTAATGGTGCAGCTTCAATCGTCATCTTCATCTGCAGCTCCACCTGAGGTGGAGTAATGCTTAAATGATCCTCTATACGTGTCAAGCGAGTGTCCATCATCTGCAACTGGAAAATAAATTAAAATTAGTAGCACAAGACTATGGTACAAATAGAACTACCATTTTCAAAATTAGCCATACTCCACAAAAAAACCAATAATTGCAACATCTGAGTCAATGAAAATGAGAAACAAGTAGAACTACTCTAGAATGAAATAATACCTCTATCAGACCAGCATGAGATGATCTCGAACATTGTTCTTTAATATCATAACCCGCTCACATTCAACAAGAGCAGATGCATTGATTTCCATGGTTCATGCAGTTGAATTCCAGCCCCAGCCCTTAACATGTTTAAGAGAATCCTTTTTACCATTTAATACATACATATCAGAGTTTGCAGAAAGTGTGATGGATCCTAAAGCAAGCATGGATAGCATGAGGGTGCCAGTACTTCCAAGTACAGATGCCCCTAGTAGCAGTAAAAGTAGAAATTATACTAGAAGCTACTCAGATACCGTAGACTATGATAAAACACATAGCAGTCAAATGTGTAGACATTGTCATAGCATGATAGCCCAGCAACTAGGCAGATCCTCTGCTCCATTTCTGTAAAAAAACTGGGCAACTTCATGAAGCCTATCAGACCAAATGCTTAAGGAAAACTTTAACTAAGTCCAAACCTATAAACCAATTAAGCAATATACACATATCAACAGTCCTAACATATACTGCAATCACACATGCGACAACTAATATCTTTGAGGCAGGATGTTTTAGACTAAAAACTAAGAAAGCCAGGACAAAGTTTCTTTGCAGCTTCGGCATGGCTTCTTAAAGATTTTATTTTTTGGTAGGCTAGCTAGCTACTTAGAACTTGGCATTAACTAGCTATGGTTCTTAGATTGCTGCTTTTCCTTTTTTTTCTCTTTCATGTTTCTGCAATGCAATATTGATTGCTGCTTTTCCTTTTTTCTCTTTCATGTTTCTGCAATACAATATTGATCCACGTTAATCCCATGCTGCCTCCACATGAAAGTAATAGCTAACTGCTAACCTCCAGGAAAATTAATCAAAATAAAAGAAAAAGTATGTGGATGCAACCGCAACAGTCCTCAAACAGGAGACCAAATGCATCAACAAATTACACCAACGGCCACGAATAAGAGACAAACCGAAAAATTGCCAAATCAGAAAAGCAAATACAACAAGCCGAAACAACAACAACGCCCAATAAATTGCCAAATCAGAAAAGCCAATTCAATTCAGAAAAGAAAAACCCCAGAAAAAAAAGAAAATCAGAAAAAAAAAAGAAATTCAAACCCTTATGCTGTTTCTAAGCAACAGAGCACAGCCACGAATTTGAAAGCCATTTGCCAAAAAAGAAAATGTGCAGTGCAAATGGGACACAAAATTGGTTGGGAGTCCTGTTGTGGTTGTAAAAGTGGAAAATTGGGAGGGGGAGAGAGGCGCAGCTGGCTAGCAGAGATGGGTTCCGAAGAGGGTCCAAGCTCTACAGTGGCCGAGATCTTCCGACGCTTCCGACGAGAAAGCTGTGCCAGATTTCGCCTGATGAGAACGGCTACAGCTCTACAAAAGAGAAGAGCTTCCGACGAGAAAGCCGCGAGATTCCGATGACAAAGCTGTGACCAAGATTTCGCCTGACGAGAAAGATGGAAGCTCAACAAAAGAGGAGAGAGTGAGGAGTGAGCTGGATGGAGAGAGTGAAGAGAGAGTGAGACAGATTTGAATGGCGATTGGAGCTCTGGCTTTGTGCTCAGATTGAGTAGCGAATGCGAGCTTACTTTTTTTTTCGTAAAAGACTGACCTCGCATTTGTGAAATGCGAAGTATCTGAACTCGCGTACCACAGATGCGAAGATCACACTTTTGGAATTAACTTAAAAAATTATCCCTCTTGCAAAATAACTTTATTTTTTCATCACAATTTAAGAATTTACCCAGGCAATTTGTGCAGTGTCATATTTGTCAATTCATTTATTGAGCTTTTTGGAAACTTATTTTATCAATTTATTATCATTATTATTGTGATTATTATTATTGTTACTATTATTAATTATTATTATTGTCATTATTACTATTGTCATCGTGGTCGTCAGCATCGTCGTCATCATGATGTTATATTTAGTGAAAATTCTTTTGTTTCTTTACGTACTATTCTCTCAATAGTATCCTCAATGATGATATTGGTTTAAATTTACCATTTTTAAACTTATTAGTATCTAACGGTGAAGAGTACTTATTGCACCGTCTAATGGGGGATTTAGCTTGAAGGCACAAAATCCAAAAAGGAAATTAGAATCTCCCTATAATTAGTAGGTTTTAAGGTCCTTTGAGAGTCAATTACCAATAACTATGATATAGTGCTGTGAATAGACAGGCATGTAGGATTGTAAAGATCAATCTGAAAAATTTCGACTGACCTTATGTGTCTAATGGGCTTGATCGATTCTCGGTACATCAAAACGAACTGAGAACGTGAATCACAAGCTCTAAATCTAGATTAAGGTATAATGTTTGGGGATAGATGTCTTAATCTATCTTGGACCACTTAAGAAAGATTAACACATGTAGAACAATGCCACAATCAAGGTGAATACTTGATTGATAAGTCGACGAAACACCTTAGGTCAACTCTAAGATGTTCAAGAACGACTTTCACAAGCCAAGAGAGCTCTTTCTCACAAGAAAGAATCTGAAAATTTTCTCAATATTATTCACTTGTTACAAACGTAAAAAATTAAGGCATATTTATAGCATTTTACACGACCCAACTCCTAATCAAACTAGAATTCAATTTACTAATTATTAACTACTAAGAGTGGACTCTTAAAATTTGGCCAACATGGCATTAATATGGCTTACTATGGTTAACATGGCCTTAAGCCATTTATTTCCATCAACTAATGACTCACTAATTCCCAAACTAATCACGGATTAATCGGAAATTAGCTAACAAAATAACGACACTAACAATTGTAAAGCTAAGCCAAACTAACAACTAAAGGAAACGACACTTGACTTGATGATCAACAACCTGATGATCACAAACTCGGTCCAAACAACTTGAACTACTTCATTGCTGGGTAGATTCCATATCAGGGCTAGGTAGAGATTAGGCTTATATATGATGCTCAATTTAAATGTGAGCCAAGTTTTGACTTCATTAAATTTAGCCCCAATTAACGCTCAGTCAAAATATAATTAATAATCATATTAGTATAGTTTGTAATAATATATATATATATCAAGGTAATAAGATATAATGTGATATTTATATCAGTATGTAGACACAATAATGTGATAATTGTGAGCTAATAGGTTTCGTGAGCTGTGTGACCCACAAGGTAAGTCCAAAGCCCGAAATTTATTACTTTAGTTTTTTTTTTTTTGGATAAGTTAAGTTTGAACTTGTCAAAACCTAACAAAATCTAACTCAAAAAACCTAGTTGACAACCTTACCGGCATACCTAATAAGTCATACCACAACTAACAAATAGGTTTAAGGCAGTTCAAAGTGCTTATAAAAAGCTATGTCTGCGCAAAATATACTTATTTGAATGGAGTCAATGGGCGATTATGAAGATGGCTTAGGTTGGTGACCACAAATTAGCGCTAGTCCATGGTAGGAATGGCAACGGGGTGGGTTTAGGGCGGGGAACCCTAGCGCCCTACGTCTCTTGCTCCTCCCGCCCTACCCGCTTCTCTTGCGGGTGTCCCGCAGAGTTAATCAAAATTCGTCATTTAGTTCATTGTAGTCAAATTTTATAATTAAGCACTAAAATATAAATACATTACCAAATCATTATCCATTATAATTTCACAATTGAAACTCATAAAAATAATCAAATAAAAATTATTGAATACAATCTAACATGATAAAATAGATATAACTAAATTAGTCAAGGTTTCACTTTTGAAATAAATACAATCACTAAGTCATTATTTGTATATTTTGTTAGAAAAAAATGTGTTATTACATTAAGTGTAATTAGGAAGTTTAGTATAAAATGTATTAATAAATTTTAGTAAAGTAATTAATAATTTCTATTAGTATATATGTATAATTATTAGTATAATTGAATAATATCAATATATTATATATAACAAAATACATTATATAATTCTTATAACTAATAATATCATTATTATAAGTTTGCAACTAATTAAATAAAATAATACACACACACACACATATATATATATATATATATATATATATATATATATATTCTACTGGGTGGTGGGGCAGAGCTATACTCTCCCTCCGAGACCGTGTGACTTCCAGCCGTAAGAAGCGAAGACATGGATCTCAAGAAAGCTTTGAACTACTTCCAAGCAAGTAAAGATTCATTGAAAGTACGTACTACCAATGTCAGGGAAAGGAGACTAAGATACCAGCACCCATACCAAGGGTTTTTTCTTTCTTTTTCCCCTAATAGCTTAGGTCCCCGCCTCATTTCTTAACGGGAGGAAAAAATTTCCCCCTTCCCGCGCCCCATTAGCCCTTGCAAACACTGTCCCAATTGTCATTCCTAGTCCATGGCTCCTCAAGTGGGAGTGCCATAGTCATAATTTTGCTCGCAAGGGCCTACGTGCACATAGCCCTTGCACAATCCTCACGATTTTCATAATATCAAGCATGTGTTTTATGGGAATAATTTATTATTTTGTCATTGAAGGTATATAGTAGGGATGCTAGTGGGTCAAGTACTCTCAAAAAATCTTTCTTTCCAAACTCTACTTGCATATCTAAGTATATTACCAACCGAGTTTTAATTCCTATTACCAAACCGTCTCACTTGTTGGTTGGATTACACATCCAATACCTGCTATCCACTAAACTCAATAGTTCAAAAAATGAAAATTAACCTTTATAAAACTAAAATCAATGCATACATCATGTTAAATTAACACATTATATTGAGTTTTAAATTTGGGTAAAGCCATCAAACTTGTATGAAAAAAATCCAACATTTAATGAAGGGTCAAATCAATATTCTTCTATTTTTAATCATATATGTCTTCATTTGTGTTAGGTTAGAGTTGTATTTAATTGGGTTATAAAATTACGAAATGTGTTATCAAATTTTAAAATTGCAACTGTCGCACCCCATTTTTTGCGATGGAAAAAGAGGGGTTTACAAAAAATGTGATTTTGTTTAAAAATAAGTGAAAAAGGACCTAAAATGAGACTTTAAAAAATGCGACAGTTTGAGTCCAAAATTTAGTCTAAAAAGGGTTTTTAAGAAAAAATAGGAATCGCCACTTGGTATTGAGTTTTGGTGTACCAAATCACCCAAAAGTGTTTTTTTTTTTGACAAAAATAAAATAAAATAAAACCCTTTTTAACAACTCCAGGTTTTTAAAAAAACAAGAAAAAATAAGTTCGGGATTCACGGTTGAAGAAAAGGAAGACAAAGGTTCGATTAACTGAAACCTAAGGCACTCTTTCAACTTAGTCTAAGCTAGTTGCGAGGCTTAGTCAAAAATTTTTTTAATCTAATCCTTAAATTTATCACATTTGAATGTTTCCTACATGGATGCAAATCTAAATTTATAAAATATCGAAAAGGACAAAATTTCCATTCAAGAGTTTAATTGATACTAATCGCATTAATTGCGAAAGCCAAAATAATTCCTTGCAAGGGTCACGAATATGTGAATGATAAAATTAAAAAGAAAAGAAAATTAAATTATATATATATATATATATATATATATATAATTATATATATATATATATATATGTGTGTGTGTGTAAGTGGCCAAAGAATAGGGAATGCAACATAATGGATATGGGAGGTAAAAATTCGTGACATAATTTTCTTATACAGGGATTAATGAGGTATTTAAACTAAAAAGTTATAATCACCCATTTCCCAAGTTTGAAGAATAATTCTCCTAACATGAACAAGCAAATGAACTAACTTATTTTACAATTTCTTAAATGAGATGCAACTCTAAATGATATGATTAACACATATAGAAGGTAGTGAATTATATAATAAGAAATATTATGCAAATGAGAAAAGATCTTAAAAATAAAAATATGCATGAAAATGTAATGAATATTACACAAAATAAATATCACACAAAATGAATCTAATGCACGAACGATCTAAGGGTCTAGCGTTGGACTAGCCAATTTCTAAAGAATCTTACTAGCGTTGGACTAGCAAGCATACAGAGGGACAACCCACAACTAGCATTAGACTAGTGTGGTGACACCATACATTAATAATACATAGTAAAACAAATAAACACATAAGAGCACGAAACACATAACACATAAGCATAATATCTAGATATAAAAATTCTAAGAAAAGCGGATAAAACACATAACACATAAGCCATATAAACACGCAAAAACCTATCTATTATGGTGAGAATTTAACTACAATCTAAAATGGGGAAATAAAAATCCTATCTACACTATC